CGTGTGATTGCAAGCATGGAACACCATGGCTTCATTTATTTATTTTTTTGTCTTTCGAATTCTATGCACGATCTGTCAGTAGCTTCGTGGTTACCGTTGCAATATAGGCATTGTAATTTGTTTGAGCAAGGATTGTCTGTATGGTTTAACCCGCATTTGGCGCACCTATTGGGGCTTCTGCAAGAGTTTTGTGAGTGTCCAAAACGTAAACAGTTTCTGCATTGTCTAACAGGGGCTATACAGGGTGTCCCAAAATTCACGCCCGTCCTTTCAGAATATGATTCAGCGGGCTAAAATAAATTAAATTTTAAGAATAAAATTTTTTCGTTTTGTCCTTGATAACCGAGTTATTGATAAAAAACAAAAATTTTTAAATTCAACTAAAACTTTAATTAAAACAAAGTAACAAAGAAACATTATTAAACATAAGAACATAAAAAACATAAAAACGAATAATTTATGCACTGGCATTATCAATATAGGCAACTAATAATTTTATCATGTCAACGTATTCTCGATTAGAATAATAATGATCCATTTTTATAATAAAAAAATAAAATTCTACTTATACCAATAATGACAGAAGTTGACAGAACGAATTAAAAAAATTTACCTCACCATAGCAACCTGCCAGTCATTTGTTTTTAGCTTACTTTGTTTTAATTAAAGTTTAATGGTTGAATTTAATTTTTTTTGTTTTTTTATCAATAACTCGGTTATCAAGGACAAAACGAAAAAATGTTACTCTTAAAATTTAATTTGTTTTAGCCCACTGAATCATATTCTGAAAGGACGGGCGTGAATTTTGGGACACCCTGTATTTCTTCGCCCTATAGCCGGATTGCAGCGATGGGCATTAATCCCTTAACGACCCCATTAACTGGAAAATCCAGAGTACTAAGTGTCTGCATGATATTAGACGAAATTCCGATAATTCGATGCAATTACATTGATTGAATTCGAACATGATTGACTTTTAACTATCTAGTTCCAAAATCGTACTTTTTTAGAAGACACAATTTAATTCAATTTAATCTATTATCAATTTAAGAATTAATAAATTAATTCTCTTTAATAATTTTAAATTTTATAAAAAGTGTACAACAAAAGAAGGTGTAAAGTGGTGTTGTGTTTCAAGAAAGTGTAATGCTAAACTTTATGTGGATGATGCCGATAGTGTAATTTTAAGAGCAGATGAAACCCACAATCACGAAGTTTGTTAAAATTTACACAGACAGATTGTATCAAACTCTTTAAAGACAAAAGCAGCGGAGGAAATTAGCGAACGTCCAGCCAAATTGTTACATATGGAAATCCAAAAAAATAAGTACGCAGCCGAATTGGACTTGAGTGATACATATTCCATTAAAAAGAGAATGTATGACGCGAGAAGAAAATTATTACCACCATTACCTACCAGTGTGGACACTGTACATGAGGCACTAGAAAGTATTTGCATTACTATAGTAAAAAATGAAAATTTTTTGTTGGTTAATGATAGTTCCGATAATTTAATTATTTATGGTACTGAAACTTATTTAAAAGTTTTGGCAAAATCTGAAAAAATTTACGTAGACGGCACCTTTAAATACTCCACAAATTTTTTTATCAGATGTTTACAATACATGGACTGATCAATAATAGTTATGTACCATTACTATTTTCACTTCTTCTCTACAACTATACAACCGAAACCGATATTCAATGACTGATTGGCGTGTTTTTTTTTACGGCTTTATTTGGGTGCGAAAAAATCGGAAAAAATTCTATCCTACGTAACTCGACGAGATCTATCGAAATATCGACTTTTCGAAACCCGGAAAAGTTTCCTTCCGGGTGAAAAACCGGATTTTTTGTTAAAATTACGACTTTTTTGGTATTTTGGACCTATATCTCCGAAACTACACTAACGATCTTTTTCAAACTTTCACCGTATATTTCACCGAACCTTTATATTTCCCGTATATTTCACTTTCACCGAAATGAAAATTTGCTGAAATTAAAAATTTTTATAAATACACTCCGTTTACTAGGAAACTATCGGGTTTTCGAAAAAAATGTATTCCTCCAAAATTATTAATTCAAGTTTCGTGCAACTAACAAAACAAACCCGATAACGATATCTTAACCCGTTCAAAAGTTATAGCAAAAAAACTTTGTCGATGCACCGGAGTACGGTAGAAAGGAATTCGTGGATTTCGTCGGTTCGGGCCAGCGGCGGGTGTTTATAATTTAATTTCTATTTGCCATGGGCGGCGTGTATAATTTTTTTTTTAATTTTTACAGGGGGCGTAGCCCACTTTACGAGCGCAAGCGAGTCTGGAAGATAAAAGTACACCTACGTATGCGAAATTGTTTGAAAAAATTGTCGAAGAATGCAAAAAATTGGACCTACATTTCAAACCTACATTAATTTTCTCTGATTTTGAAGAAGCCATCCATAAAGGTATCTACTCTACGTGGCCTAACGTACAGTTAAGGGGATGTTGGTTTCATTTAGGACAAGCAAGGTGGAGAAAAATACAAAAACTTGGTCTTACAAGTGAATATACAATCAAAGATTCAGAAAAAGGTAATAATTAAGGTTAAATATTTTGAAATAAACATTTTTCAATAGCATATATACCTACGTACAAAAAAATAACGTTATCGATTTTGTTGTAGGCGCATGGTTACGTTGGATTTTTGGTTTGCCGTATTTGGATCTCCTGGATGCTGAGGAATGCTTCATTTACGATTTTATGACATGTATGCCAGAATGTCAAAAATTAACTGCATTTGCTTACTATTTGGTCGATAATTACTTGGACACAGATGCAAGATTTCCTCCAAAGATGTGGGCTTCAGAAACATCGTCATCAGAAATGACCACCAACGCCTGCGAGGCTTTTCATTCTAAATTTAATTCGTTTTTTATGCAGCGCATCCCAATATATTTTCTTTTGTTGATATCCTCAAAAATATGCAGATAGATAGCTACAGGTCTACGAATTTACCATGGCACCTGGGGAAAATATTTTCTGCGCGAAGTAAGGGTCAGTGTGCGACAAGGATAGCATTCGGAATAGAGAGATGGCTATACAGGTAGTGAACGTAGTCGCATTTTACTCGACACTTTGCATTAAACGAACTAAGGGGTAATTGGGATTTTCGAATGCAATTATAAAAATTATTTAATACTGTTATTTATTAGAGATTAAATTCAATTAGCTTACTTTTATTGAATGCAAATCTCAATATGTTTTCAATGTATAGAAATTGTAATTCGGTGATTTAAATTAACTATAATGGATGTTAAATTAGTTTACTAAGAATAATTATTGCGTTCGCATTCAAGCCCATCAATTTTAAACCGGATTAATTAAATATCAATCAAATATAATAATAAATCTTAATATTAATCTTATACGGGGAATAATGAATTATTGGATTTATAGGAAAATAACAATGAAAATGGGTTTTTCAGAGCCACGAATCTAAAATTTTAGGAATTTCGCTCCCTTAATACGGCTCTGTGCTTAGATGTTTAAGCGTAAGACTGTCTGAACAGAATGAGTGCGGAGCGTAATTTAGGGACGAATCTACGGCGCATCTAGGGGGTGGAGCATCTCAGGTGCCATGGTAAATTCGTAGACCTGTACGTTATAATAAATAGCATACAACACAAAAAGAAAAATTATATCAAAAATTACAACAAAAAAATACAAATTTTAGAAGAAAATATTAAATTGTATAGAAATAATAGCCTCTCCCGATTTGATTTTGTAAAACGTTGTTCATTTTATTGTAAAATTTAGGTATATTGTAGTTATTTTAATTTAGATAGTTAATTTAGATATTTAGTTATTTTGGTTCCTTAATACTTTGTAATATTTTTAATAAAAATATGTAAAATTGAGATTTTTGTAAATAAATTTTTTGTAAAATTTTTGTAAATAAATTTAACATTCTAAAATAAAAAAATCTTAAAATTATTGAAGACCAAATGAAATTGAATTAAATAAAATCATAACAAAATCACTCGGGAAACAGAAGTAGGTATCCTCGAATTCAGGTAAGCGGATTATAAATCTTGGGCTGCAGTCCGGCCATGGAATTAAAGTTTTAATCCTCTGACCCTTCTTTACCCACTGACCATCGCTGCAGTCCGGCTATGCCCTTCTAGCTGCATCAACAAAACTCTCGAAAATATGATCAAGAACAGGCTCGACTGGATCCTTGAAAACTCTTCCTCGTTTTCCTAGACACTGAGATCTCATGTGCGCTCGCGGAGGACAAAAATTCCCGTAGCCGTTTTTCTCGATATCAAGGGTGCCTACGACAATGTACTAATCTCCTCCATCTATTCATCTTTAAACTCCCTCGGACTAGCCCAAGATATATGTGATCTAATCGTTTCCCTTCTTAATAATAGGATCTCCCCTCAGTCCTCTTTTATTTAATATTACCTGCAGCGACATTAAAAACATGGTCTCGCCCCACATCCAGATAAGTGGATACGCAGATGACTTGGTCCTAATCTGCGCCAAAAATTCAGTAAATTTCTAAATTCAAGCGCTTAACTCCTTTCTGCACAGATTACATTCGCATCTCCAAAACATGGGATTAGAACTATCCCCTAATAAATGTGCTGCAGTCCTGTTCAAAAAGGCCAATAGACCTATCCCAACCTCCTCCATATCCATCAACGGCACTCAAGTCGCCTGGCGACCCTTTTTCAAATACCTTGGCACAATCTTTGATGAAAGTCTAACCTGGAAACCACACATAAACTACATATCCGACAAGGCCGCCAGAGGCATCAATGTCCTAAGGGCTCTATGCGGTAAATGGTGGGGAAGCCACCCCTCCTCTCTCCTAAACATTTACAAAGCTATAGTAAATCCACATTTCGATAACGCTTGCTTTCTATACGGGGGCAGCGCAAACACACATCTTACTAAACTGGATAGGCTGCAATTTCAGTCAATTCGCGTTATCTATGGATATCTTAAGTCTAGCCCCACAAACATACTACTTTCAGACTCAGGAATACCGCCTCTATCCGTCCGAAGAATGAACCTCACAACCAAATTCGTAGCTAAAGCCATGGCATACAAAGAGGCCACGGGAGCTTCCATCCTAAAGTTGTTCACCAGCTGGGCCAGAGACCCCACGTTCTGGAACACAAGAAACTCCCCAATAATCATATCAGCATTTCAAAACATTTCACACCATCTACCCCACATGCACTGTTCCTCCAAATTCCCCTGTCACAACTACCCCCTCGAATCGCAAATTAATCACGTTCAGGTCGTAAACCTCGATCTGAACAAGGAAAACAGGAACAACAACAATACCTTCTTGGATAAAATCAACACCCACTTCGAGGAATTCACAACTATATTTACCGATGGATCTAAAAAGAAAGACAATGTCGGCTTCGGAATATATTCCCCTGGTCTTCTATCTATCAGCGATCGACTCCCAAAAACCTTCTCGATCTTCTCAGCAGAGCTACGCGCCATATCCGTTGCTATGGAAAAAATCGTCGAACTGAACCTGAACAAAGTGCTCATCCTCTGATCCTGAAATAGCAGACAAAGTGCTCATCCTCTGATCCTGAAATAGCAGACAAAGTGCTTATCCTCTGATCCTGAAATAGCAGACAAAGTGCTCATCCTCTGATCCTGAAATAGCAGACAAAGTGCTCATCCTCTGATCCTGAAATAGCAGACAAAGTGTTCATCCTCTGATCATGAAATAGCAGACAAAGTGCTCATCCTCTGGTACTGAAATAGCAGACAAAGTGCTCATCCTCTGATCCTGAAATAGCAGACAAAGTGCTCATCCTCTGATCCTGAAATAGCAGACAAAGTGTTCATCTGGTCCTGAAATAGCAGACAAAGTGCTTATCCTCTGATCCTGAAATAGCAGACAAAGTGCTCATCCTCTGATCCTGAAATAGCAGACAAAGTGCTCATCCTCTGGTCCTGAAATAGCAGACAAAGTGCTCATCCTCTGATCCTGAAATAGCAGACAAAGTGCTCATCCTCTGATCCTGAAATAGCAGACAAAGTGCTCATCCTCTGATCCTGAAATAGCAGACAAAGTGCTCATCCTCTGATCCTGAAATAGCAGACAAAGTGCTCATCCTCTGATCCTGAAATAGCAGACAAAGTGCTCATCCTCTGATCCTGAAATAGCAGACAAAGTGCTCATCCTCTGATCCTGAAATAGCAGACAAAGTGCTCATCCTCTGATCCTGAAATAGCAGACAAAGTGTTCATCTGGTCCTGAAATAGCAGACAAAGTGCTTATCCTCTGATCCTGAAATAGCAGACAAAGTGCTCATCCTCTGATCCTGAAATAGCAGACAAAGTGCTCATCCTCTGGTCCTGAAATAGCAGACAAAGTGCTCATCCTCTGATCCTGAAATAGCAGACAAAGTGCTCATCCTCTGATCCTGAAATAGCAGACAAAGTGCTCATCCTCTGATCCTGAAATAGCAGACAAAGTGCTCATCCTCTGATCCTGAAATAGCAGACAAAGTGCTCATACTCTGATCCTGAAATAGCAGACAAAGTGCTCATCCTCTGATCCTGAAATAGCAGACAAAGTGCTCATCCTCTGGTCCTGAAATAGCAGACAAAGTGCTCATCCTCTGGTCCTGAAATAGCAGACCGTCTGGCCAATCTCGGACGATCTGTTCCCAGGTCCGTTTTCCCGCAGACCTATTACAAAGATATAATCACCACGGCCAATGAAATTCACCTTAATAGATGGAATGAAATCTTCCGGACAGACTGCAGACGGAAAGGGGCCATCTACGGTCAATACATAAAGAATCCTCTCAAAAAGCCATGGTTCCATGAATTCCCCGGACTCAGTAGAAAAGATATAAACATTGTTTCTAGAATCAGGTCAAATCATTGCCTAACAAGATCGTACCTCAGGAAAATCAATATCTCACCCGACAACCTATGTGACTGCGGTGAAGTACAGGACACCAACCACATTTTCTTCGCCTGCAATCGTTTCCACAACGAAATAGTCACCCTTCACAATTCCCTGAAACTTTCCAACAGTGCCTCCGTCCTCTCCATCCACGATATAATATTCAACTTCCTCTCTGTCACCAGCATAAAATCCATAGTAACCTTTTTATCGGCCATTAAACTAAAACTGTTACCGTTTACTATAGAATTAGCTGATCAGATTTTCAACTAAACCCCATTATCCGTTAAACCATAAAGCAACCAAAACCATCCGATATATCTTTCATCTATATTTCCAGTAATCAACCAGCAAACCACGCCAAGGAAAAAATCCATCAACACAAGAGTAAAATTTTATGAACCACGTCAAACATAGTAAAAGGCCGAATAGCCTGTTAGTGGTTGTTTGCTAATTCATGGACTTTTTCGTAACTAACATTTATTTCGCTCCACCTTTATTCTCACATTAATTATTTTATACAAAAACGAAACTAAAATATACAACGAGGCAAAAATGGTTCAGTCGAGAGAGCGCGTAAAATTGACATTCTTGACAACTGCGGGAGTGTCCCTCTCTCGGCTCTTTTGCAAAACCGAACTAAAAATGGAATCTTCCTTTTCACTATGACAGTGAGGTCGCTACAAGCCCAAGTGTAGCTGAGGCCTTAAACGAATAAGAAAAAGAAGACTTTTAGCCAATCACGCGCGACCTGCGACCTCTCGTGACGTCACAAGTATTCTATAGCGGCAAATTCCGAGCATCTCAAGTCGTGTGTAATGGAAATAATGTTTATGCAACATAATAAATAATAGCTGTCAATTACGTTAGGCTAAACACCCCTTGCAGGCTTAGACCACATACAGATCAAGAAGAAACACGTCAAATATGTCTCTTGAATTGGAACAAATTGAAGCTACGTACGATAATTAAAACTGGTTACAGTTAAAATAGTTTAGTTTTTTTGATCACGTGGTGTCAGTTTAAAAAGTTAGAAATAATAGGTTTGTTCCTACAAAAAGTCACTGATTTGTTACCAGTAAGTTTCTGACTCTTCTATTTCGCATGCGCGGTTTATGATTGAATGGTGTAATCAAATTTCTGATTTCTTGATGGAACAGTCTTTACATTTATTACATATATTCACCAAATATCAAACAAAAACAACAAACAACATAACCTAATAATTAACCTATATTCAGAAATACAAATTAAACCCAAATTAAAAATGCGCTTGCGCCGGATTTCAAATCTCTGTACTATCAGCAAATTTTTCTGACTATCACAAAACCAGTCCCTTAAACTGTTGGAACAATAAATTGTTAACCAAGTCAGAATCAGAGATGTCTGTGGAGTTTGTTGGAACGCCTAAATTATTACTGCGCAGACTCCTGACGATCACCGACTATTTCTGACTGTTGTAGGAACAAACCTAATAATTATGGAACACACTCCAGTGCGTTTTGCGTTTGACGTTTCGAGCTTGTTGCCGCGCGCATAAATAAATATTGGAAACATAACCTTACTACCATAGAGAAAGAAAGATTTTATTTTGTCTATGCTTACTACCTTACCATTTAGAAGTTTTTATTGTTTTTATCCACGGTCTGGTTTTTATCGGCTCTTAGTTGCAAAAAGGCCTATTTTTAGCTCTGTTGCTGCAATGGATTTGGACGATATAGAAACCGCTGCATCTATAGTCGCAATAATTAATGCATCACGAATTATAGTTGAGGAATTGATTGAAAGCGATGAAGAAAATACGGAAGTGTTGGAGAAGGTTGATAATTATTTTGAAATAACAGTGCCTAATTTTAATGACAACCAGTTCAAAGAGCATTTTCGCCTTTCGAGAGAGACATTTGAATATCTTTTATTGGAATTATCCCAAATAAACAATTTAAATGAAGTGTCAGCTGCTGGAAGACCAGAAATGCCTCTCGAAAAGCAATTATTAATATGTATATGGTACTTAGGAAACTGCGAAAGCTTTAGAAGCGTTGCTTGTCGCTTTGGTATCGGAAAGCATTGTTGTTGGTATGTTACCAACGAGGTTGTTTCCAAAATGATTCAATTGAATCAGATAAGAAGAGTCATCGCATTTCCTCGCATTTACGAAGCTGCCGCTGTGGCTCAAAAATTTGAGCGAATTAATGGATTTCCAGGTAAACTATGTGCCCAAGTAATATTGTGATATTCTTAATCTGTCTTATATAACAGAATACCTTTTTTGTTATAATTTTTCACTATACCTACATTAAATATTTTATAATTATTACAGGCATAATTGGTGCCATTGATGGTTGCCATATAGAAATTGAGAAACCTAGTAGAAATGGAAATTCTTATATCAACCGAAAAGGATATCCATCGGTACTATTACAAGGAATTTGTGATTCGGACAAATTGTTCTTGGATGTTTACGCCGGCGAGCCTGGATGCATTCATGACCAAAGATTGTTTACTAAGTCGCCAATTTACAGGCAAATAAGAGAAGGCACAATTCATATCCCAAATGACACTCACCTAATTGGAGATCTGGCATATAAATTGTCTACGAAGGTAATGGTCGGATTCAAAGATAATGGACATCTTTCAGCAGACCAAATACGTTTCAATAAATTACTCAGCATTAATAGGGTTCGTATAGAGAATGCGTTTGGACTTCTGAAAGGCAGATTCCGAAGATTGAAAAAAATTGAAACAAGAAGGCTCGATTTGATACCGCAATACATTATGACAGCTTGCATGCTTCATAACATTTGCATAAGGCAAGGAGATTTCTTTGCAATAGAAAATCCAATTGAGGTCGAATTAGATGATGAAAACTCAGATGATGACGACGATGAAGAATACGAGAATGCCCGTCTCAAAAGAGACAACATCAAACACTTAGTTTTGCTACGGAACAATTTTTACTAACCATTACTGTTTATAAATAAAAACATTTAATAGTTACCTATTTTGTTTTGATAGAAAAAAAATAATGCATATAATATGGAATGCGAAATATACTATATTTATTGCAACATTAAAAAAATTGTACATTGCTTTAACCACAGTTTAAACATTGAAAACATATTTTTTATAATAAACTAAAAGTTATACTTAGTTTATGAACAAATTTTTATCTTATATCTCTCATAAATCACAGTACCAGATGTTTATCTTATATCTCAGAAATCACAGTACCAAAAACTAAATTAAACAAGGAACATTAAAATTAAAGCAAAACATAAATATAAATTGTTTTCTAATAAACTAAAAGTTATACTTAGTTTATGAACATATTTTTATCTTATATCTCTCATAAATCACAGCACTAGATTTTTATCTTATATCTCATAAATCACAGTACCAAAAACTAAATTAAACAAGGAACATTAAAATTAAAGCAAAACATAAACATAAATTGTTTTCTAATAAACTAAAAGTTATACTTAGTTTATGAACAAATTTTTATCTTATATCTCTCATAAATCACAGCACTAGATTTTTATCTTATATCTCATAAATCACAGTACCAAAAACTAAATTAAACAAGGAACATTAAAATTAAAGCAAAACATAAACATAAATTGTTTTCTAATAAACTAAAAGTTATACTTAGTTTATGAACAAATTTTTATCTTATATCTATCATAAATCACAGTACCAAAAACTAAATTAAACAAGGAACATTAAAATTAAAGCAAAACATACTTTGGAACATAAATTGTTTTCTAATAAATTGAAAGTCATTTCAGTCTTGATCAGCAGTCTTATTTTTCTTTTCAAGGATGTTGACAAGCCTGTTCATCGTCATGTTGAGGTCGTCAATTCTTCTCATTTTCTCTTTATGGCGCCTCTCAACTGCATCTGCTTTGATTGTTCTTTTTTTCTGAAAGCTGCTGCTTTTTACTTCCACATTAGATTGAGACGTACTGGCTAATGAGTCCCCCATTTCCGCTTCTGTTACCACTTGTACTCCCAGCAAACTTGAGCAAGTAGCAGGAGCGACGATATCAGGTTTTTTTGATAAAATTTCATCCATAGCTAACATGAATTTCCATGGTTTTGTACTTTTGCCTGTTTTTTTATTTCTTAGCTTGATTTCAGCATATTTATTTTTCAAATTTTTCCATTTATTTTCTACCTGTATATGAGAACAGGGCAATTTTATTATTTCTTCAATTGCTTTGGCTATTTTTATCCATACTTTCTTTTTAATTGTTGTTTCCATTAAATGTTCATTTTTTTTATAGAGTGATATCAACAACAGTATGTTATTGTCTGTCCAAAGTTTACCTACAATTATTTATTTGGAAAACACACATCATTGTAATGAAAATAATAATAGTTACCATCAATATCGCCTGTCTTCTCAGTTCCTTCCTTATTTTCTTTCCCAGTTTCTTCATCAATAGATTGGTTGAACATAAAATCTGAATCATCGCCTGTTTGCTCATATTTGTCCTTTAAATTTTCCTCGATCTCTTTATTATTATTAAATATATTGTTGTATACCAACTCTGCATATTTCAATTTATATTCAGGATCTGAAGAATAAATGTTTTTATTACCTAATGTACCTACGGTTTTTTAATAGTACCTCTTTATTACGTTAAACACGATGTTGTCCCAGCATTTAAAATTTTACATTGGTTAACTTAAAACCATAATTTTATGCAATAATCATATGAACATTAGTTGTATATAATTATTTTACATTAAACGAGTTTGCTGGGAAAGTATCGTCTTTTATTTATTAAATATTGAAAAACATCATGGATTTACTATTTTGTTTAAGAATATTTACCTTTAATCAACTGTTGAAATGTATTATTATCAACTTGCACATCGAATTTAACATTGGAATATTCCAATTCAATATTTTTAATATTGTGGTATGCCATTTTAATCAAATAAAACTGATGAACACAAAATGAAACAAAACCAAAATATTTCCCAAGTGAGGTGAGGTTATATAGGAATATCCTTCATAAATGACACTAATGACAGCGTAACTGGGTTAACTCGATTTAAAACGAGTGCAAAAAGTTTTAAACTATTTTGACTTGCTTCGAATTATCGTACAGAGGTCAGGTTAAAAAAGTGCAAAAAGTTATGAATTAAAAGACACATTCAGTTAAAAAAGTTAGAAAAGTGACAAAAGTGCGCAATTATCGTACGCAGCTTGAAATTGGATGGGACTTGCTAAATCACGTTTATGAAGAAATCGCGACACTTGATAACAATATTTATGAGGAACTGTTAAACGCTAACGTGAGCTAGGAGAAGTTGTCCACGGAAAGTGATTCGTGTGAAACGTACAGGCGTCGGTTTTTCGAACTTAGAATCAGGCACAATAAATGCAATGCCGGTCAGATCGCGGAAACACAAATAGAGAGCTCAGGCAGCGAATCTGGGAGTTCAGCGAGGAACAGATGCAGAAGCTCAAATTGCCTGCGATAGAGCTCGAAAGGTTTGACGGCGATATAAATGATTGGTTGCCCTTTTGGTCGCAATTCCAACAGGTGCATAACGACCCTGATTTAGACTTGGGCGATAAAGTAGAGTATCTCACACAGGCTACGGTTTTCCGGCTGTTGGAGAGAATTATGTGAAAATGATTCATTCGTTGAAATCTCGAAACTTGCTTGTTTATATGACAACATCGCAACGCAACTTCGATCATTGGAAACACTCGGAATTGCTTCGGAAAAGTATGCTGCTATGTTATTTCCTCTGATAGAGTCCTGCCTACCTGAAGGTTTGCTACGAGTGTGGCAGAGATCACCTCTTAGTAGTTCGTCTACTGCTATGGTCTCAAATAGCACATTGGAGGAAAGACTGAGGAATCTGATGGCATTTGTTCGAGGTGAGGTGGAGAACGAGCAGAGAATTTCCCTGGCAAACGAGGGCTTCGGCATACGTGCGGGTGCGGGCAAAAGGAATCGTAACGTGCCCCGTAGGGATGAGGAAGAAGAATATTTGGCTGAAGCAGGTATTCCTACTGCGACAGGGTTGATCAGTCATGAGGCTGCGAACTGTATATTTTGCGAAGGTACTCATGATAGTGCTAACTGTTTTAAGGCGCAGGAGTTTTCGATGGATAGGAAGAAAGATATTTTGAACAAGAAGAAGGCCTGCTACCGGTGTTTGAGAACGGGACACTTATCGAGAAAGTGTAAGGCTCGTTTAAAATGTATTATGTGCAGGGGAGGCCACGTCGTGATTATGTGTCCTGGTCTCTGCCAAAAGAGCGCAACAGTACTTGCCGATAAGGGTGTCAACGAGCCGTCTGACCAGGCAGAGTCGGTAGCTTGTGCCAATAATACTAATTTGCATGTTTTCTTGCAGACTCTACGAGTAAAGGTCGTCGGGAAAACCGGAGCACGAGTTTTGAGAGCGCTTATCGATACCGGTTCGCAGAATAGTTATATCTCGGGGACTGCAGTAGAATTATTAAACTTAAGGCCAGAGGGAAAATGCAAGTTAGTACATTGTCTGTTTGGAGGCAGTCGCATGGTAAGAGAACATGACAATTACGAGGTGGAAGCTTGTCATGGGAATTACACAATTAAGTTCGGAGCATTGTCGCAGCCGGTCATTTGTAATGAGGTGTTGCCTATTTTTTCTGGACCATGGATGGATCAATTAAGTAGTCTTGGGATAAGTCTTTCGGATCATGATTCGCCGGCACCAATCGAGCTACTAATAGGAGCTGACGTTGCGGGACAGTTGTACACGGGACGAAGGCAGGTTCTGGAGACGGGATTGGTTGCTGTCGAAACTCACTTAGGCTGGACGTTGATGGGTCGGATACCGCAGACGGTCTGCAGCAATGTGGCAACCAATACGATTTCTCTGTACGTGAACGATGCTACTGTCTCACAGTTATGGGAATTAGATGTACTAGGGATTAGGGATCCTTCCGAAAAGAAGAAGGTGTTGGAAACGAAAGAGTTTTTCTTGCGCACAGTGGATATAGACTCAGATGGTCGTTATAGGGTAAGATTGCCTTGGATATCGGATCATCCACCTCTGTCTAGCGGCTACGACTCTGCCAAAAGGCGTTTGATGTCTACTATAAATAAGCTTCGGAGAGAGAAGTTGTGTTTTTTCTGAATGGCTGCACGAGGGTATCATTGAAGAGGTAGTCGAGAGTGTTCCTGGCTTAGAGGAAGTGCATTACTTGCCTCACCGGCCCGTATTAAAGGAAAACAGCACAACAAAGATAAGACCAGTGTTTGATGCATCCGCTAAAGAAGGGGGTAACTCACTGAATCAGTGTTTGGAAAAGGGAGTAAATTATATCGAATTGATACCTGATATACTGTTGCGCTTTAGAATTGATAAAATTGGTGTAATTTCAGATATACGTAAGGCGTTCCTACAAATTAGTCTGGGCGAAGAGGACCGAGATTTTTTACGATTCCTCTGGATTAATGCGGCCGGCGAGGAGAGGGTATTTCGGCACAAACGAGTGGTCTTTGGCGTCAACTGCAGTCCATTCCTCTTGGGAGCCACTATAGAGTACCATCTCCTGAAAGAACTGAAAGAAGCTGAGTCTGGCAGAGCTACCTATGCTAGAGAGGTAATAGAAAAATTGCGTCACAGTTTTTACGTGGACAATTGCGTAGCCAGTGTGTCGGATACAGGTACGTTGCAAAATTTTATAAGAGAGTCCACAATGATCTTGAGCGATGCAAAATTTGATTTGCGTGGATGGAGATTCACTCATCAGATGGGCGAGCATGAGAATGACCGATTTGTCATGGTGCTTGGACTGAATTGGGATGTTCAAGAAGATGTTTTAAGCATCAGCCCAAGTTTTATTGAGGAAATCAAACTGGTGACTAATAAACCCATTACTAAAAGATTAATGTTGTCACTTGTTCATAAGATGTTCGATCCAATCGGTTTCACCTGTCCTGTGTCTTTAGTTCCCAAGCTACTATTACAGCGGGCTTGGGGGGAGAAAATCGGGTGGGGAGACAGAGGTGAATGCAGAAATAAAGGCAGCCTTTGTTGATTGGATGAATCAACTCCATTGTTTGGCGGAGATTGTGATTCCCCGGTGGATTCGCGGAAGGTCTTGTCCGGAGTATATGAGTTTGCATACCTTTTGCGACGCTAGCAAAGAAGCTTGTGCCGCGGTGGTGTTCCTGAGGGGAATTTGCGAAGGCGAAGTTTTTGTACATTTGGTGGCTGCAAAGAGCAGAGTGGCACCTCTGAGGAAAATTGCTATTCCACGTTTGGAGCTGCTCGCCGCTTTGATCGGGACGAGATTATGTTCCAGCGTTATGGCAAATTTGGGAATGGAGTTGCCTGTTCATTTTTGGAGCGACTCCACCACGGTTGTTCTTGGATCCGTCGTAAAGAGGAGTGGGGAGTGTTTTTTTTCAATAGAGTGAGAGAAATAAGAGAAGCAACCAGCCGGGATTGTTGGCGTTACGTGCCGGGGAACGAGAATCCGGCAGATCTACCGTGTAGAGGATGTACACCACGACAATTGCTGACCTCTCGATGGTGGGAAGGTCCGAAATGGTTATATTTGGATGCTAGTTTGTGGCCTCAGGAGAGAGGTGACTGTTTCGATGAAAGTGAAATTAGAGAACGAAAGAAATTGATTGCTACCCTATCCAACACGGCTGATGGGGATGATTGGCATTTGCGACGCTTGTCCAGCTTTGATGGAACAATAAGAATGCTGGCTTGGTTGCTGCGATTTCTTAACAATTGTAGGCATCCGGACAAGAGGTTGCGGGGTGTGTTGGAGGTAGCGGAACTGAATCGAGCCTAGGTGATTGTCATCAAGTTGATACAGCGAGAGTCTTTCGAGGAAGATGATCAGAGGTTGAAGACGCTTGATGCATTCCTTGATGAAAATGGAGTTATAAGAATGAAGTCCCGAGTGAGCAATAGAGAGGACGATGTTAACTTTCGTCTGCCTTTTGTGTTGCCATCCAAGCACGATCTGGTGGAGAGACTTATACAGGGTGTGCACGAAAGAGCCAATCACACGGGGGTCCAAGGACTTTTAAGTTTATTACGGGAACGATATTGGATACTGGGCGGTCGGAGAACCATCAGGTATTGTATATCAAAGTGTGTGAGATGCAAGAGACAGACTAGTAGGCCGTTTACTACTAGTGTTCCACCCTTACCTGTGGACCGAGTGAGGGATGCTGTGCCCTTTGAGGTTACCGGCGTGGATTTTGCCGGTCCGTTATTTCTAAGGTCGGGAGGAAAGGTGTGGATTTGTCTGTTTACCTGTGCTGTATATCGGGCCGTGCATTTGGAACTTTGCACCTCGTTATCCTCGCCGAATTTTATGCTGGCCTTAAGACGATTCATTTCAAGACGTGGTCGGCCAAAGACTATATTTAGCGACAATGGCACGAATTTCGTTGGGGCCAATGCATCGCTGAAAGAACTGGATTGGGATAGAATCATCAAAGAATGTGGTGTTGAGCGAATCGATTGGAAGTTTAATCCTCCCTCAGCTCCTTGGTGGGGAGGTTTCTGGGAGCGCCTTGTGGGAATATTGAAAGGCATGCTCCGAAAAGTATTGGGACGGGCTTCTCTGAATTATGAGGAGTTATTTACCGTTTTGTGTGACTGCGAATCTATAATAAATTCTAGACCGATTAGTTCCTCTAACGCCCATGATATTTCTGAGGGAACAGGTCGAGTTTGGTACGCCTGACGTCGACGCAATAGATCGGTCGTCGTTATGTAGAAGGGTCGTGTATCGGCAGAAGCTAATGGATGATTTGCGTCGTCGCTTCAGGGCCGAATATCTGGGCCAATTGAAGACTTGGGGGAATCGGGGTTCCGGAAGGCCCATACGAGAGGGGGAGCTAGTGATGGTTGGAAACGACTCTGAAAAAAGGGTGAGTTGGCCTTTGGCGCGAGTGAAGCAGCTGATCCCTGGTAGGGACGGTGTCGTCCGTGTGGCACGTGTGACCACTGCCCGTGGATCCCTTTTGAGGCCAGTGCAACGGCTCTATCCACTAGAGTGTAATCTTGAGGACCAGGAGGAAACGGATGGTGTTCCTGAGTCTCCGGGCAGGGCCGACAGAGCCGACAGCGAGTGAGGCCGAAGGCTTTGAAGAAAGTGCGCGGTCGGTAGTTAAAAGCAGAGTACCCGATCGTAAAGTGACGCGGAGTGGACGCAACATTAGGTTGCCGGCGCGATATTTGTAACGTTTTCATTATTATCATTATTGTATGTTTATTTTGTAATTTCTTAATTGAGACATTCTCTGTCGCTCAGGTTTCAAGGTGGGAGGATGTTGAGGAAGAGGCCAAATTGTAGTACCGAATAGTACAGGGCCTCTTGTTCTTTTTTTGACGGTTGACTGTTGACATTAAGTCAAGTTAACCTAACTTGTTTTTGTTGTTGTAGTACGCTGTCTGTACGATTTTTTATGATTTTGACCGCCTCGTGTTTCGTTTAATATTGTTTAATACCTATTACAAATGTTCAATAAACGATGAGTGGAAATTAACGGGTAGTTTTTGTTCAACTCAACAGCCCTCCAGGATTCTCACGAAGTGGCGTATGGCGGCGAAGATGGCCAGCAGCTCCCTGTCGTAAGCGCTGTAGCGCTGTTCGGTCGGTGAGAGCTTACGCGAAAAGAAGCCCAGAGGTGTCCGGGACCCGTCGGATTGCTGCTGGTCCAGGGCGGCGGCGATGACGGTGCTGGAGGCGTCGGTGCGCAGCGCGAGCGGCGCTGATGGGTCCAGGAAGGCGACCCGGACCGCATGTGCAAGAGTCTCCTTGGCGAGCCGGAACGCTGACGACGCTGCATCCGTCCAGTTCAGCTTGGCTTTCTTTCCGGTGGCCCCTTTGAGGAGTTCGACCAGTGGGGCCTGCGTTTCGGCGGCGTGCGGCAGGCAGCGCCGGTAGAAGTTGGTCATGTCCAGAAAACGGCGTAGCTGCGAAGAGTCGACAGGCTGTGGGAAGTCCAAGATGGCCGCCACCTTCCGGGGGGGCGGTTGGAATCCTCCCTCTGACACCAGGTAACCTGCGAAAGTAACTTCGGCTGACCCGAAGACGCACTTGCTCCAATTGATGTGGAGGCGTGCGTCCCGGAGGGTCTCGAAAAGAAGACGAAGGCGTTCCAGGTGTTCTTCGTGAGAATGCGAAGAGACCAGGAAGTCGTCCACGTAGCACTGGACAAAGTCGAGTAGTCGCCGGTTACACGCCATCCCCCGCTGGGCTTCGAGACCAAGTGTAGTGGACTGGCCCACTGGCTGAAGGAGGGGCGTATGATCCCTCGGCTCTGGAGCTCGGCGAACTGCTCCCTGGCGGCGGCGAGGCGGTCGCCGGCCAGGCGTCGTGGCCTCTCGAATACTGGTGGACCCTGGGTGTGAATGAAGTGCTGCACGGGGAAGTCTGGCAGCGTGGCTGAGGCGCCCCGAGGGGCGGCGAGTTCGACGAAACCCTGAATGAGGTTGTTGTACGTCTCGGAAATGGCTCCTTCCGGGAGCTGATACGTCGGTGCGATGGTCACGCTCACGACCTGGGCAGGTCCGATTGAACCGACGGCGGAGAGCTGCGTCTGGCGATCCAGGATTCGCCTTCCCCTTAGGTCGATCAGGATGCCGTACCGGGTGAGGGTGTCTGCGCCCAGAATGGCCGTCTGGACATCGGCGACGATGAATTGGCACGCTATTGGTCTTCGAAGTCCCAAGTCGAGCGAGACGGAATGTCGCCCGAAGGTGCGGATTGGTGAGGAGTTGGCTGCCTGAAGCACCAGGTCGGGCTGCTGTAGGTATCTTCCTGGAACGGCCAATCGGGGGAGTAGGGAGACTACGGAGCCGGAGTCGACCAGGAATCGCATGTTGGTTTTCCGGTCGCGGACATGGAGGCGGTTTTCTCTTGGAATGTTGCCGGCGGCGTCCCAGGGAGACGGCGCCGGCGTCGTCAATTTTCCGGTAGGGCGGCGGTGGCAGCAACGTCGGGCCAGGTGCATGGAGCTTTGCATCGCCTAGCTTGACCACCCCATCTGGAATGGTACCAGCACTGGCCGGTTTGGGCGTCGGGGCCAGGTGTCGAAGAGCGGTCCCTGCGACTGGAAGGACCTCTGCTGGTTGGGCGTCCCCGTTGTGCCGTGTCCCGAGGAGTGGAGAGGAGCTGCGCCATCATCTTGCGCAGAGCTGCGACTACACAGCTTGCGCACGGAGCTGTGTCAGGTCCGTGGTGGGCCCGGTCGAAGTGGACGTTGGCTGGGAGGCCTTCTGCGTGGAATATCCGGCGGCCATCACGGGCGGGCCGCAGTCGTGGATCTCGTCCGCCGCTTCTGCGAGCTCGGCCAGGTTCTTCGCCTTGAACAGGCGGAGGATACGCCTGGTGGATGGCGGGAGTAGGTCCGGCCACTTGACTCGCATCACGTCATCTTCCACGCCGCCTTTGGCCAGTGACTGCATCTCCCGGAGCAGTTGGGAGGGTTTCTTATCGCCCAATTCCACCCCGGTGAGCAGCTTGTGTAGTTGGAGGTCGGCCGAATCGGTCATGCGGCTCAGGATTGTTGCCTTCAGCGTTTCGTAACCTTCCGATTATCTCGTTTTTTATTGTAAAGGGAACCAAAAGTTATTAATAAACACCAGAATTAATAAGGTTGTATTTCGTGGAAGCAATTTACTTCTGAAAGCGAAGTGGAAAAGCAAAAATACCCACAAGATCAAGAAGGAACACGTCAAATATGTCATACGTCAAAATTAGATTATTTTTTCGACAACCATCGCAGCATTACAAACGAATATTTCGACGTATTAGTTACTAGTTTAGCGAAATTTTCGGAAAAATCGCTCAAAAAACATGCTCAAGAACCAAAAACGTTTCGTGTTCCAACGTCACTGTCATTCGTAACTTTCAGCCAATCACGCGCGACCTGCGACCTCTCTTGACGTCACAAGTATTCTATAGCGGCAAATTCCGAGCATTTCAAGTCGTGTGTAATGGAAAATAATGGAAATAAAGAATATTTCGACGTAAGTTAGCGAAACTTTCGAATTCTCATTCGAAATATCGAAAAATTTACAAAAAAAAACTTGCTCAAGAACCGAAAACGTTTCGTGTTCCAACGTCACTGTCATTCGTAACTTTTAGCCAATCACACGCGACCTGCGACCAATTCGGCAAATTCCGAGCATCTCAAGTGGTGTGTAATGGAAATAATGTTTATACAACACAATAAATAATAAATACAGTCAATTTACGTTAGACTAAACACCCCTTGAAGGCTCAAACTACACACAGGTAAAGAAGAAATACGTCAAATACGTCATATGTCACACACGTCAAATTACGACCGCAGCATTACAAACGAATTTTTCCGGCTACAGCAGTGACCAGTTCGGCGAATATTCCGAATAAAAATCGCCCCGAAAGAAAAAACCATGTTTCGCAACCAATACGACAGCGACGTGACCGTCTGGAGCCCCCAAGGGCGCCTCCATCAAGTCGAGTACGCCATGGAGGCCGTCAATCTCGGCTCGGCCACCGTCGGGCTGAAAAGCGCCAGTCACGCCGTTATAATAGCGTTGAAAAGGGCCTCGTCCGAACTATCCGCCTATCAGACATTATTTTTTCGACAACCAACGCAACATTACAAACGAATATTTCGACGTATTAGTTACTAGTTTAGCGAAATTTTTGAATAAATCGCTCCAAAAAAACTTGCTCAAGAACCGAAAACGTTTCGTGTTTTGTTCATTCGTAAATTTTAGCCAATCACGCGCGACCTGCGACTTCTCGTGACGTCACAAGTATTCTATAGCGGCAAATTCCGAGCATTTCAAGTCGTGTGTAATGGAAATAAGGAATATTTCGACGTAAGTTAGCGAAACTTTCGAATTCTCATTCGAAATATCGAAAAATTTATAAAAAAAAAAACTTGCTCAAGAACCAAAAACGTTTCGTGTTCCAACGTCACTGTCATTCGTAACTTTTAGCCAATCACACGCGACCTGCGACCAATTCGGCAAATTCCGAGCATCTAAAGTGGTGTGTAATGGAAATAATGTTTATACAACACAATAAATAATAAATACAATCAATTACGTTATGCTAAACACCCATTTAAGTCTCAAACTACACACAGGTAAAGAAGAAATACGTCAAATATGTCATATGTCACATGTTAAATTAGACTTTTTTCGACGATCGCAGTATTACAAACGAATTTTTCGACCTATTTGTTACTAGTTTTAGCGAAATAAAACGAATAAATCGCTCAAAAAACGAATAAATCGAATAAATCGAGCAAATAAAAAAGAAGAAATACGTCAAATACGTCAAATGTCACACACGTCAAATTACCACCGCAGCATTACAAACGAATTTTTCGACCAGTTCGGCGACTAAAAATCGCCCCGAAAGAAAGAAAAAACCATGTTTCGCAATCAATACGACAGCGACGTGACCGTCTGGAGCCCCCAAGGGCGCCTCCACCAAGTCGAGTACGCCATGGAGGCCGTCAATCTCGGCTCGGCCACCGTCGGGCTGAAAAGCACCAGTCACGCCGTTATAATAGCGTTGAAAAGGGCCTCGTCCGAACTATCCGCCTATCAGACATTATTTTTTCGACAACCATCGCAGCATTACAAACGAATATTTCGACGTATTAGTTACTAGTTTAGCGAAATTTTCGGATAAATCGCTCCAAAAAACTTGCTCAAGAACCGAAAACGTTTCGTGTTTTGTTCATTCGTAACTTTCAGCCAATCACGCGCGACCTGCGACCTCTCTTGACGTCACAAGTATTCTATAGCGGAAAATTCCGAGCATTTCAAGTCGTGTGTAATGGAAATAATGGAAATAAGGAATATTTCGACGTAAGTTAGCGAAACTTTCGAATTCTCATTCGAAATATCGAAATATTTACAAAAAAAAACTTGCTCAAGAACCGAAAACGTTTCGTGTTCCAACGTCACTGTCATTCGTAACTTTTAGCCAATTACGCGCGACCTGCGACTTCTCGTGACGTCACAAGTATTCTTCACAAGTATCGCAGCATTACAAACGAATTTTTCGACCTATTTGTTACTAGTTTTAGCGAAATAAAACGAATAAATCGCTCAAAAAACGAATAAAACGAATAAATCGAATGAATTCTATAAATAAATAAGAAGAAATACGTCAAATACGTCAAATGTCACACACGTCAAATTAGTTTTTTTCCGACGACCGCAGCATTACAAACGAATTTTTCCGGCCAGTTCGTCGAAATTATCGAAAGAAAAAACCATGTTTCGTAATCAATACGACAGCGACGTGACCGTCTGGAGCCCCCAAGGGCGCCTCCACCAAGTCGAGTACGCCATGGAGGCCGTCAATCTCGGCTCGGCCACCGTCGGACTGAAAAGCGCCAGTCACGCCGTTATAATAGCCCTGAAAAGGGCCTCGTCCGAACTGTCCGCCTATCAGAAGAAGATCATCCAAATCGACGATCACATCGGCATCACCATCTCCGGTTTGACGGCGGACGCGAGGATTTTGAGCAGATATATGAGGAACGAATGTTTGAACTACAAGTACTCGATGGATTCTTACATGCCTTTGAACAGGCTGATCAACATCTTAGGTAACTAACTTATTGTACTAGCTAATCATTACTATATAGGTAACTAGCTAATCGTTAGTAGAGGACTGCAAATCGATTCGTGAGGGCTTCGAAAGGGTTCCGGAGTGTTCTAAATGGTTCTAGACAGTTGTTAGTTGTTCTGGATGGTTCTAAATGGTTTTGGAGCGTTCTAAAAGGTTCCGGAGCGTTCTAAATGATTCAAAACAGTTTTTAACTATTCTGGAGCGTTCTAAATGATTTTGAAACGTTCTAAATGATTCTAGACAGTTATAAATGGTTTCAGACAATTAATTTCGGTTTTTAATGCACGAAGCAACCTGTTCGAAGAAACTCTAAGAAGGTAGGGTGAAAAGTTCTCAGCCTGAATTATTTAGAACTGTCTAAAACTAATTAGAACAGTCAAAAATCATTGAGAACAACCCAGAGTTAATTCAGAATTGTCTAGAACAATTTAGAAAGGGTCTATAATCATGTAAGAACTGAATAGAACCGTTCGAAATAGTTCAGGAGCGTTCTTAGAACCGTTTTCGAACTGTTTGAAGCTATTTCGAAGAGTCTAGAATCGTTTAAAAACTGACTAAAACCATTCAGAACACTTTAGAATGAATAAGAACTGTTTAGAACTATTTATAATCATTCAGAACCATTTAGAATCATGTAATACGCTCCAGAACTGTCTAGAATGATTTAGAACAGTCAAAAATCATTTAAAACTGATCTAGAACTGATCTAGAAACACTCCATAGTCATTTAGAACGATTCTACGAACGATTAAAGAGTTATTTAGAAATTTCTGAAACCATTTAGAACGGTCTATAAATATGTAAGAATTGAGTAGAACCGTTCGAAATAGTTCAGGGGCGATTCGAGAGCCGTTTTCGAACTGTTCGAAACCATTTCGAAGAGTGTAGAATTATTTCATAACTCTCTAAAAGCGTTCGAAATAGTTCAGGGGCTATCTTAGAACTGTTCGAAACCATTTCAAAGGGTCTAGAATCGTTTAAGAACTGACTAAAACCATTCAAAACCCTCCAGAATGAATAAGAACTGTTTAGAACTAATTAGCACACTCCATAGTAATTCAGAACGTTCCAGAGTCAATTAGAACTGTCTAGAACTATTTAGAATCATTCAGAACCATTTAGAATCATGTAATACGCTCCAGAACTGTCTAGAATGATTTAAAATGTTCCATAGTCATTTAGAACGATTCCGAACGCTTTAGAACGATTTTCGAGTTATTTAGAACTGTCTAGAACAATTTAGAAGGGTCTATAATCATGTAAGAACTGAATAGGACCGTTCGAAATAGTTCAGGGGCGATTCGAGAACCGTTTTCGAACTGTTCGAAACCATTTCGAAGAGTGTAGAATTATTTCACAACTCTCTAAAACTGTTCGAAATAGTTTAGAGGCGATCTTAGAACCGTTTTCGAACTGTTCGAAACCATTTTGAACGCTCCATAGTCATTTAGAACTGTTTAGAACGCACCCAGAAATAATTAGAACTGTCTAGATTCATTTAGAACGCTCTCAAAATCATTTAGAACCTTCTCAAACCAAATATTTTGCCTCATCTTCAGTTTAACATGATATATGAGGAACTAATGTTTGAACTACAAGTACTCGATTGGTCTCTTACATGCCTTTGAACAGGCTAATCAACATTTTGGGTAACTAACTTAGTTATCTAACTAACTTAGTTATCTAAATAATAATACTAGCTAATCATTACTGCAGTGAAATGGCTGTTAGATTTGTCTAGAATCGATTCGTGAGGGTTTCGAAAAGGTTCCGGAGTGTTCTAAATGATTCTAAACGGTTCTTGGAGCTTCATAAATGATTATGGAGCGTTCTAGAGAGTTCTAAATGGTTTCAGACAATTAATTTCGAAGGTTTATAATGCACATTCGAAAATCGTTCGGAGAATCGTTCTAAATGACTATGGAATGAATAAGAACTGTCTAGAACTATTTAGAATCATTCAGAACCATTTAGAATCATGTAATACGCTCCAGAACTGTCTAGAATGATTTAAAATGTTCCATAGTCATTTAGAACGATTCTCCGAACGCTTTAGAACGATTTAGAGTTATTTAGAACTGTCTAGAACAATTTAGAAGGGTCTATAATCATGTAAGAACTGAGTAGAACTGTTCGAAACCATTTCGAAGAGTGTAGAATTATTTGACAACTCTCTAGAACCGTTCGAAATTGTTTAGGGGTGATCTTAGAACCGTTTTCGAACTGTTCGAAACCATTTTGAACGCTCCATAGTCATTTAGAACTGTTTAGAACGCCCCCAGAATCATTTAGAACTGTCTAGATTCATTTAGAACGCCCTCAAAATCATTTAGAACCTTCTCAAACCAAATATTTCGCCTCATCTTCGGTTTAACATGATATACGAGGAACGAATGTTTGAACTACAAGTACTCGATTGGACTCTTACATGCCTTTGAACAGGCTAATCAACATTTTGGGTAACTAGCTAATCATTACTATAGTGAAATGGTTGTTAGAATTGTCTAGAAATCGATTCGTGAAGGTTTCGAAAAGGTTGTTAGTTGTTCTGGATTGTTCTAAATGGTTTTGGAGCGTTCTAAATGATTCTGGGGGCGTTCTAAATGATTCTATACAGTTTTAAATGATTTTGGATCGTTCTAAATGAATAGGAATGAATAAGATCTGTCTAGAACTATTTAGAACCATTCAGAACCATTTAGAATCATGTAATACGCTCCAGAGCTGTCTAGAATGATTTTTAAATGTTCCATAGTCATTTAGAACGATTCCGAAGGCTTTAGAACGATTTAGAGTTATTTAGAACTGTCTAGAACAATTTAGAAGGGTCTATAATCATGTAAGAACTGAATAGGACCGTTCGAAATAGTTCAGGGGCGATTCGAGAGCCGTTTTCGAACTGTTCGAAACCATTTCGAAGAGTGTAGAATTATTTCACAACTCTCTAGAAACGTTCGAAATTGTTTAGGAGTTATCTTAGAACCGTTTTAGAACTGTTTCGAACGATCTAAAGCGCTCCGGAATGATTTAGAACTCTCCAAAATCATTTAGAACTGTTTAGAACCATCTTAGAACGCTCCAGAATCATTTAGAACGCTTCATAGTCATCCAGAACCATTTAGAACCCTCCAGAAACCCTCTAGAACGCTCCATAGTCATTTAGAACGCTCTAGAACCATTTAGAACTGTTTAGAACGATCTAGAGCAGTTTGGAACGCACCCAGAATCATTTAGAACGCTCCAAAACCAATTTGAACTAGTCTAAAACCATGTAAAACGCTCCATAGTCATCTAGAACCATTCAGAACCCTCCAAAAACCCATCTAAAACGCCTCCCAGAATCATTTAGAACGCTCCAAAACCAATTTGAACTAGTCTAGAACCATTTAAAACGCACCACAGTCATCCAGAATCATTCAGAACCCTCCAAAACCCTCTAGAACGATCCATAGCCATTTAAAACGCCCCCCAGAATCATTTAGAATTCTAAAAAAAAAAAAAAAAAAAACCGTTCGTTCATCTTTACAGGCATCAAAATGCAACACTGCACCCAACGCTACGACCGTAGACCCTTCGGATGGGGTCTACTCATAGCTTTATAGACATTTAGAACGCTCTAGAAACCATTTAGAACTGTTTAGAACAATGTAGAGCAGTTTGGAACGCTCCAAAAAAAACATTTCATTCATCTTTACAGGCATCAAAATGCAACATTGCACTCAACGCTACGACCGTAGACCCTTCGGAGGGGGTCTACTCGTAGCTTTATAGTCATTTAGAATCATTTAGAACCGTCCAGAACCATTTAAAACGCCCCCACAATCATTAAGAACGCTCAAAAAAAAAACTTTCGTTCATCTTTGCAGGCATCAAAATGCAACATTGCACCCAACGCTACGACCGTAGACCCTTCGAAGTGGGTCTACTCGTAGCTTTATAGTCATTTAGAACGCTCTAGAACCATTTAGAACTGTTTAGAACGATCCAGAGCAGTTTGGAACGCCCCCAGAATCATTTAGAACGCTTCATAGTCATCCAAAACCATTTAGAACCCTCCAGAAACCCTCTAGAACGATCCATAGTAATTTAGAACCCTCCACAACCCATCTAAAACGCCTCCCACAATCATTTAGAACCCTCCACAACTCATCTAAACTGCCCCCCAGAACCATTTAGAACCCTCCAGAAACACTCTAGAACGCTCCAGAATCAATTCGAACCATCCAAAACCCTCTAGAACGCTCCATAGTCATTTTAAACGCCCCCACAATCATTTAGAATTCTCCAAAAAAAAAAAACACCTTTCATTCATCTTTACAGGCATCAAAATGCAACATTGCACCCAACGCTACGACCGTAGACCCTTCGGATGGGGTCTACTCGTAGCTTTATAGTCATTTAGAACGCTGTAGAACCATTTAAAACAGTCTAGAATCATTTAGAATTAGTCTAGAACCATTTAGAACTGTTTAGAACGATCCAGAGCAGTTTGGAACGCTCCCAGAATCATTTAGAACGCTTCATAGTCATCCAGAACCATTTAGAACCCTCCAGAAACCCTCTAGAACGATCCATAGTCATTTAGAACCCTCCACAACCCATCTAAAACGCCTCCCACAATCATTTAGAACCCTCCACAACTCATCTAAACTGCCCCCCAGAACCATTTAGAACCCTCCAGAAACACTCTAGAACGCTCCAGAATCAATTCGAACCATCCAAAACCCTTTAGAACGCTCCATAGTCATTTTAAACGCCCCCACAATCATTTAGAATTCTCCAAAAAAAAAAAAAAACCTTTCTTTCACTTATTTACAGGCATCAAAATGCAACATTGCACCCAACGCTACGACCGTAGACCCTTCGGCGTCGGTCTACTCGTCGCCGGCTACGACGACGACGCCGGCGCCCACATCTACCAAACGTGTCCCTCGGCGAATTTCTACGATTGCAAGGCCATGTCGATCGGCGCCCGATCGCAAAGCGCACGAACCTACTTGGAGAAAAAGCTCGACGAGCTGCCTTCGATGGCTTTGGAGGATCTCATCAAGCACGGCTTGAGAGCTTTGAGAGATACTCTTCCTCCCGAAGTGGATTTGACCACGAAAAACGTTTCGATCGGTTACGTGGGAAAAGGGACGAGCTTCAAGATATTGGAGGAGGAGGAGACGGCGCCGTTTTTGGCGTTGATCGAAGGGGAGGAACGTAGAGGGGGTAGTGGTGGTGGGGGTGCGGTGGAGGGGGCGGCTGATCCTTTGAGGGAATCGGGGGACGAGGGGGGACCCAGGGATCCGATACCGGCGGTAGCGATGGATACAACGGAGTAGATTCTTTCGATTTGAAGGGGGAAGTTGGAGGAGGGGTTGGAGTTGCGATGGAGGTGGTTTGTGGTTGTAAAGGTGATTTGCCGTGGCTGTTTTGATTCTGATTCTGATGAGAGGAGGATTTGAGACAGTCACGGCGGGTTATCTATCGATTATTGGAATTTTGTTCGATTTTTTATTGTAATTTTTTTAATGGTTAAGAGTTTTTGTGTTTTTCGATCAATATAATAAATTTGCTACTGCTTCGTATTTTGTTGTTTGGTTTTTTTTATATCTAGGAATCATTTTTAACGGTCCAGAGTAATTTAAAATTGTCTTGGGTCGTTTAGAACTGTTTAGAATCATTTAGAACTGTCTAGAATCATTTATAAAGTTCCAGAATCATTTAGAACGCTCCAGAATCATTTAAAACTGTCTAGAATCATTTAAAACGCTCCAAAAATCATTTAAAACTGTCTAGAATCATTTAGAACGCTCCAGAATCATTTAAAACTGTCCAGAATCGTTTAAAACTGTCTACAATCATTTAGAACGCTCCAGAATCATTTAAAACTGTCTAGAATCATTTAAAACGCTCCAAAATCATTTAGAACTGTTCCAAAATCATTTAGAACTGTTCCAAAATCATTTAAAACTGTCTAGAATCATTTAGAACTGTCTAGGATCATTTAGAAGGCTCCAGAATCGTTTAGAACTGTCTAGAATCATTAGAACCCTCCAGAATCATTTAAAACTGTCTAGAATCATTTAAAACACCCTCAGAATCATTTAAAACTCGTCTAGAGCAGTTTAGAACGCTCCATTGTTATTTACAACGCTCCAGAGTTATTTAGAACTAACTGAAACCATTTAGAACTGTTCAGAATCAATTAGTACTCTTTAGAGCGATTTAGAACACCCCCAGAATCATTTAGAACGCTCCAAAATCATTTAAAACTCTCTAGAATCATTTAGAAAACTTCAGAATCATTTAGAACGCTCCAGAATCATTTAGAACGCCAGAATAATTTAAAACTCGTCTGGAGCAGTTTAGAACCCTCCAGAGTTATTTGGAACCATCTGAAACCATTTAGAACGCTCCAGAATCGTTTAGAACTGTCTAGAATCATTTAGACACTCTCCCTCCCGAGGTGGATTTGAACACCAAAAACGTTTCGATCGGTTACGTGGGAAAAGGGACGAGCTTCAAGATATTGGAGGAGGAGGAGACGGCGCCGTTTTTGGCGTTGATCGAAGGGGAGGAACGTAGAGGGGGTAGTGGAGGTGGTGGTGGTGGGGGTGCGGTGGAGGGGGCGGCGGATCCTTTGAGGGAATCGGGGGACGAGGGGGGAGCCCCCAACAGGGGGGATCCTGTACCACAGGTAGCGATGGATACGACGGAGTAGATTCTTTCGAATTGAAATGTGAAGATGGAGGAGGGGTTGGAGTTGCGTCGGGGGTGGTTTGGAGTGGTTGGTTGGGGGTGGTTTGTGGTTGTAAAGGTGATTTGCCGTGGCTGTTTTGATTCCGATTCTGATGAGAGGAGGGATTCGAAACAGTCACGGCGGGTTATCAATCGATTATTGGAATTCTGTTCTAGAATTCTGTTGTATTTTTTTTAATGGTTAAGAGTTTTGTGTTTTTCGATCAATATAATAAATTTGCTACTGCTTCGTATTTTGTTGTTTGGTTTTTTTTTTATCTCTAGGAATCATTTAGGACGGTCCAGAGTCATCTAAAATTGTCTTGGATAGTTTAGAACTGTTTAGAATCATTTAGAACTGTCTAGAATCATTTATAAAGTTCCAGAATCATTTAGAACGCTCCAGAATCATTTAGATCTGTCTAGAATCATTTAGAACGTTTCACAATCATTTAGAACGTTCCAGAATCATTAAGAAGTGTCTAGAACCATTTAAAAAGCATGTGAAGGTAATTAATCGGTGATTTCGGGCAAATTGATGAAATGCTGCGTGAATTGATAATTTGTGCATTTAGATTTTACAGGTAAAATGCTCCAGAATAATTTAGAACTGTCTAGAACCATTCTGTCTGGAATCATTTAGAACGTTTCACAATCATTTAGAACGCTCCAGAATCGTTTAGAACTGTCTAGAATCATTAAGAAGGCTCCAGAATTATTTATAACGGTCTAGAATCATTTAGAACGCCCCCAGAATCATTTAAAACTCGTCTAGAGCAGTTTAGAACGCTCCAGAATAATTTAGAAATGTCTAGAATCATTTAAAACGTTCCAGAATCATTTAAAACTCTCTAAAATCATTTAGAACGCTCCAGAATCGTTTTGAACTGTCTAGAATCATTTAGAATGCTCCAGAATCATTTAGAACGCTCCAGAATCGTTTTGAACTGTCTAGAATCATTTAGAATGCTCCAGAATCATTTAGAACGCTCCAGAATCATTTAGAACGCTCCAGAATCATTTATAACTGTCTAGAATCATTTAGAATGCTCCAGAATCATTTAGAACGCTCCAGAATCGTTTAGAACTAACTAGAACCATGATAGAAGAGAAAAATAAAATAAAATTTTGGAAAATAAGACGATTTTTGTTTTCAGAACAATGTTTTATTGAAAATATAAAAATGATTACACGAATGGAAGCATTTTACACACGAGTGTCTTAAACGAATCTACAATGTAAATAATATAATACATAATACAAATTAATAATAAATTTAAAATGACCATTTAAAAATGTACAAAACAAAAAAATCTCTTTGAATTGAATTCTTAGGTAACTGAATAGTTCCATTAAAAAAAAATATAATTTTTTTTTAAATTTAGTTTAAAAAAAGTTTATTATTACAAATAAATATCACAAAACGAAATAGAAACCGACTTTTCTACATTTTATGTACAGTTTGTGTAAAATAAAGTTCGACCTGCGTCACAAATAGGCAGTGTTGCCGGATTTGCATAGAAGTTGCGAAATGTAAGAAATTTCTAAAATTTAAAAGAAATATTTTTCATTGACAAAATATTGAATTTCCAGTTATTCTAACTCGATTACTTTTAGAGATTATCGAGATTTTTTTTGCCTTGATATCAAAGAAAAGTTGTTTTGGAAATTTTCGGAAAAAAAATCAGAAAATTCCAAATGACATGACGTCATCAGTGACGTCCATCGAACTTTGTTTTGCACAAACTATATGCATTCATTTTTTACTTATAAACTAATTTAATTGCTCACTCTCTTTCGATACACAAAAATATATCGAAATTTTAATGATAAAATATACAAAATTTTTTACTTGCTTCATCGAAAACCAAAAAAATAAAATAAAATTGAACTAAAACTAAACCAATCATAACAAATAAATTATACTCCGTTCGCCATCAGGCAGATTAAAAAATTCACAAATAAGATAAAAATAAAAAAAATAGTCATTATTAAATTAATAAAAAATTATCAAAAGATTGTCTGTAGTAATTGCCGTTTAGTAAATAAATTAGATTTAATTATCACCTCCCGATGACGAACGGACTATAATTTTTTTGTGGATATATTTACGTAAATTATGAAATAAAATGGCGATGAATTATTTATTTACTCTACGGTATTTTTTTTTGAATAGGTTATTTATTAATAAATTCAAAGTTTCTCGATAGATTCGTTACCACAAATTCTACAGGGTGTTGAAATTACAAGAGATTATAGATTTATGAATGTTATCTCGATATTATCAGCGTGATAATTTCGAGAGAAATAAAAACGGATGAAGAAATTTTACAAGTGGGAATTTTGTGTTTTTTTTATGTTCGAAATATTTCGAAAATTTTGGTATTTTTCGAAATTATTCAAATTTGAAAATTGTATAAGAATGTTTTTTGTATAAAATGGTGAATGTATAAAAAAGTTTCGGTTTTTTATCTCGATTGGTTTTCGAGATAATTGGGGTTCTTTGTGGTGTTTGAAAAAAGTTAAAATTTTTCGGAAAAAAGTCGAAATATTTCGGAAATTTTGACGTTTTTCGGAATTGTTCAAATTGGTAGATTGTAGGGGAATGTTTTTTGTATAAAATGGTGAAAGTTTAGTTTTTTTATCTCGATTGGTTTTCGAGATAATTAAGGTTTTTTGTGGTGTTGTTTGAAAAAAGTTTAAATATTTCGGAAAAAAGTCGAAATATTTCGGAAATTTGGGCGTTTTTCGGAATTGTTCAAATTGGTAGATTGTAGGGGAATGTTTTTTGTATAAAATGGTGAAAGTTTCGTTTTTTTATCTCGATTGGTTTTCGAGATAATTGGGGTTTTTTTGTGGTGTTGTTTGAAAAAAGTTTAACTTTTTCGAAAAAAAGTCAAAATATTTCGGAAATTTGGGCATTTTTCGGAATTGTTCGAATTGGAAATTTGTAGGGGAATGTTTTTTCTACAAAATGGTAAAAATTCCGTTTTCTATCTCGATTGGTTTTCGAGATAATTGGAGTTTTTTATGGTGTTGTTTAAGAAAAGTTGTTTAATTTTTTTCGAAAAAAAACTCGAAATATTTCGGAAATTTGGGCGTTTTTCGGAATTGTTCGAATTGGTAAATTGTAGGGAAATGTTTTTTTTTATAAAATGGGGAATATTTAGTTTTTTTAGTTCGATTGGTTTTCGAGATAATTGGGGTTGTTTCTGGTGTTGTTATTAAAGAAAAAATGTTTAATTTTTTCGAAAAAAGTCGAAATATTTCGAAAATTTGGAAATTCTCGAAATTATCATCATGACAATTCTGGAGAAAAACGGGCGAAGAAATTTTACAAAAGGGTAATACTTAATTTATATCTTAATTTTTTTTTCTTCAACTGGTAACGATATCCCTCATTTTTTTTCCTACTGTAGTCAGAGAACATCTACAGGGTGTATCTAAAAATAACACAAAAAAATTAACGGGCGATTCTGTGAATGTAAGTACCAAAAGTACCCACCTTAATTTTCATGACAGAATCCCCCCTTACATTTTTTTCGATTTTATTTAAATACATCCTGTATAATATAATTTTTTAATTCTACAAAAAAAAAGAAGGACGATTTATTAATTAATATTAATTAATAAATAATTAATTAATAAATATTGTATTAATATTTATATTAATATTAATAAATAATTAATTAATTAATATTAATATAATCTTTTTTTTAATATTAATATTAATATTATTAATTAATCTACGCATGCGCGTTCTCCGTTTCACGGCAATTGTGATTATTATCCCGGTAGGCGTCACTCGACGACGTCGCGACGCCGTTCGTCGGTTGTTTCCCGTTAGACGTCGTTTTCTCCTAAATTAATGAAAAAAAAAATTAAAAAATTAAAAATAAATTAAATCTTGGTAATTGATAAATTTATTATTGACGGTTTCGCGAAAAAAAATTCAAAAAAAAAATTAAAAATAAATTAAAACTTGGTAATTGATACATTTATTATTGACGGTTTTGCGAAAAAAAAATAATAAAAAAAAATTAAAAATAAATTAAATCTTGGTAATTGATAAATTTATTATTATTGTCGTCGGTTTTTCGAAAATAAATTAATAAAAAAAATTAAAAATAAATTAAATCTTGGTAATTGATACATTTATTATTGACGGTTTTGCGAAAAAAAAAATAATAAAAAAAATTAAAAATAAATTAAAACTTGGTAATTGATAAATTTATTATTATTGTCGTCGGTTTTTCGAAAATAAATTAATAAAAAAAATTAAAAATAAATTAAATCTTGGTAATTGATAAATTTATTATTATTGTCGTCGGTTTGGCGAAAATAAATTAATAAAAAAAAATGTAAAAATTAACTTAAAATACCTTATAGCGCGAGGAAAAGTCGAAATCTCCTCGATCCGGAAAGTAGTTTTTCAAAAAACCTTACGAAACAAAAAAAAAAACAATAAAATAAAAAAATAAAATAAATGCAGAAATACAGCGTAGCCGAAGACTAGAATAGATAAAGGCTACGGCTAAATAAATAGCAGAAATAGCGTAATTTAATGCTATATTTCAGCGGAAATTCGTCATTTTACGAGATATTAACACTATCCTATATTATCCTACACTTTCCCACTCTATCCTACACTAAACAACACTGTCGTACTCTACCATACATTGTCTTAGATTGTCCTACTCTATTCTACACCGTGCTATTCTAATCCTACACTATTTTAAAATATCCTACTCTGTTTTAGATTACCCTACTCCATTTTACACTGTCCTTCTCTATCCTACACCGTCCTACTTTATCCTACACTGTTTTATATTATCTCACTCTATCCTACACTAGACAACACTGTCCCCACTTAATCCTAAACTGTCCTTCTCTATCCTACACTGTTTTATATTATCCTACTCTATTCTACTCTATCCTGCACTTTCCCACTCTATCCTGCACTTTCCCACTCTATCCTACACTGTCCTGCATTACCTTACACTGTTTTATATTATCCTACTCTATTCTACACTGTCCTACTCTATCCTGCACTTTCCCACTCTATCCTACACTGTCCTGCATTACCTTACACTGTTTTATATTATCCTACTCTATTCTACACTGTCCT